ACTAAAAAATACAGATCTTGGGCAAAAGACTGAAGGAAGACAAAGCCAAAATTGCTCAGTACCTGAAAGGTAACTACAGTGACAGAGAAAACAGCTCAGCAAGGCAGAAGAACAGTGGGATTCTGTCATTAGTAGTCCATCCTTCCCTGTGGCAGGTAAGTGTCTCAGTCTGTTCTTTTTACAGGGCTCAGTAGTTGTCTAATTATCAGCTGTATATCTTTTGAAAGTCAAACTACATCCTAGTATCTAGTTAACAGCAAATAGATCAGCAAGCTTCTAAGAAGAGTGAATCAAGAAGCTCTTTTTACATGCTTCACTTACAGCTAGCTAGCATGGCAAAAGTTAAAATACAGTCTCATGTTTAAGAACTGGCAGGAACAGTGTTTTTTTTTTTTTTTAATTAGTAAGAAAAAAAAAAATACCTGTTGTAAATGGTATTGTGTGGCCACACTACCTCCTGGTGGTGTTTCAGGCATGGGGAGTTCATTCAGTTCAACATGAAATATATAGAATATAAAACCATAAAGTGCTGGTCCCAAACCATTACACAGTCCTCGAATTCCTGTTATCATCCCTTGAACAACACCTAGAGAAAGTAAAATATACTGTTATCTACCTATATATTTTCATGTGTATATATATATGATTATTTATAATGCATTATGTGCAATCAGTAAGACTTCACTCATTTCCCCTTCACACTGACGCAAACAAGAAGCTTCACTGAATGGGGTTATACCATTGGTAAAAATAAATAAGGGCTGTAGAAAATTTGTCATTGTGATACATTCAATTTTTTCATCTTTCTATAGGCCTAGAGTAGTATCTCCTGTGCCACGCTCATCCAGGAGGCCAACATATACAATGTCTTTGCTATCACTATCTCATGCAGCAGAGAAAGCATTGCAAGCAACCTGGATAACTAAGCACACCTATGCTACAAGGGAGGAAAAATAACAAAATAAGTCTGCTAACTATTTTGCTACCTTTGGGACCTGTTAACTGCTTTCCTCTGTGCTTTCCACGGTATTCATGTGCCCAAACTTCTAAGTAGTTTGGATTGTAATGTTTTGTGACCTGTACTGAGGTGTATTGGCTACTTTGTGCCAAGGTTAAGGATGACGCGTTAGTGCTAGTAGACACCCTGACATGCCTGGCTTCACACCATTCTGACTAGAATTCAACATATTAGGACAACAAACCTACCTTGTTGGTCAGCATCAGCAGTTCGGGAAACTAGTGCGCTTACAGCTGGGAAAGTAATACTGGACATGGCTGCAACAGCTCCAGCTGCCCACATCATCCTGCAAAAAAAGACAGACTCAAAGTAACTGCTTTGCATGGAAAGCATTCTGCATGTAGAGCTCCGAAGTCCTAGCATTAGCATCAAGATGAGAATGGGTTAGTTTTGCAGGTCAGAACATTGCAAAAGCTAATTAAGTTACCACTGTTGTGCTTTTCTTTTTTTGATTTAAAATCCTGCAAAATAGTTTTAGTAAGCTACCAGTCCTACCAAAAGCTTACTCTTTACTGAGAAAGTCTTGATCGTGATCTTTGCTGGAGTAAACAGTACTCAGATTAAGAGGTATGTTTGATGTAGCTTCTGCAGCATTGAAAATCATGCAAAAGACCTCCCATTCAGGATGGGCAGTTTTCATCTGTGCCTAGCCTTCCACATGAGGAAGAGGAGTTACAGTACACAAAACCAAATTAAAAAGCTGCTTTGACCTTACAAGACAGCCAATCAGTCAAAATCTGACTGCGCAATGACAGATTCCTAAAAGCACTTTTTTGGGAAAAGGATACTGCCACATCTGAAATTCAGAGTTTCTTTTCACATGAAAAATCTGTATATTTGAGAAGATTAAAGTAACTTTTTCTGCTGCAGTACAGGGTATGCCATTATTACTCTGGCCTCTTAAAACACCTAGATGGTTGTCCTGACAGTCATTCCTTGCCTACAGCCAATTAACTCAATGCATCTATTCAAAGAGAGTACAGTTTTAAGATTCTTCAGCTAGGACAAATCTCCCTTCTGGAAACAGTAGCGCTGAGGAACAAAACAAAACCACCACTTCTTCAGTCATGGTGCTGATCATTATTATATAATATAGTTTTTTTTGTCCTCTAAATGTCTCCCTTGGACAAAGGATAAAAGGCAGAGAGATATATTCAAATATTAAAGTGAAATTTACATACCAAGGTTCTGAGCCAAAGCCATACCATGCAAGTTGCAGTATTTGAAATCCTAGACCCAGTAGGATGGTGTTTTTATTTCCAATGGACCGCATAAGTAAACTCAAAACTATTGTCTGTCAAGGGCAGGGAAGTACAAAACCAAAAATTAACATTTTATTGTGAACGTTAATGCATGCAAATAAATTAATGAATTTAAAAAAAGCAAACCAACATTCTCCAGAAGCTGTATTGGCAAAATATGTAGGAGTTTCTACCAAAAAGTTAAAATCATTTAACATGTTATATGAACAAATTATCACTCCTTTCTTGATGTAGAAAAATGATTTAGTTTTCCCAACACAATACACTTTGGCTACTAATAAATCAAAACTCTGAAAAACTTTGGCAGGCTATATTTTTCCATGTAAATTAGTTAAAGGAAGAATGCTAATCAACACTTACAGGCTTAGAAAAACAGCTACAGAAAATGTGAGGTACGTTTCTGGAATTTCAGTATTATGAAATCTCTCCATAGTGCTTAGTTTTTCTTTTTAAGTTACTGAATCAATGAAATACATAGCTGTAATTCACCTGTGCAATAATGGAAAGAATCCCAAGGACTGCTATAAATGCTGCCACACTTTCAGATGAAAATCCCATTATCTATATTAACAAAAAAAAAAAGGCAATTTGATTATTAATAGTAAAGTATATATTGACATATCAGACATCAAGGGGGAAAAAAATACAGAAAATTGATTCAACTGCTACTATTCAACTAAACTCAAACTTGTAAAAACAATTATTCTTTCACTGAAAAAGAAAAGAGAAAACAAAGGACCAAAAACAGAAAGCAAGTTACCAGAATTCCCTCAATAATAAAGCATTGTAACACAGGGAACCTCCTAACCCAAGATGAATGCAAATGATAACAAGACATGAGAAAGTGTTTTATAATGCATTCATCTCTCTCCTGTTTTCCTGTCTCTAAAAAAAGAGGAAAACAAAACAGCAAGAGGACTAAAAACTACTGAAAACTTTTAAATGATACTAGTTATTCGTACTTACTACATGAATTCAGCAATAGCCAAAACTTAACTAGAAATGCACATTTGCTCAAATCCATATCAAGATGTTAAATTACCTGTCTGAGGTATAGGAAGAAGCTGGAATATTGACCTGCCTCTGGGAGGTAGGAAAGAAAGACTGTTATGCAGATTAGCAGCACAATTGAATCCTGGCCGACTTTCTTCAGTGACTATGGCAAGAAAAACAAAGCATTATAAACCATCTACTCCTCATATTCAGAAAAAGCATGCCTAGTAAGAAACTGAAAAGCATATAAATTAATGAAGCTAGCACACAGCACCACTGAAACATTTCCTGCACATTTAGCAAGACTGTTGGCAAAAATATTAGCAGCAGTGTGAGATCACCTGTTTTTTTCCCCCCCAGCTGCTCCCCCCCCCCTTTTTTTTTTTTTTAAGAACTTGAAACATGGTAAATACAATCTCTTTTTTGTCTCAAAAGCTCAGTATCTACAAATGCCCAAATATCTCATATTAAAATAGCTTACCGCAAAAGGGTCAGCCTGTTCCCAAGAAATAGGCGCTCCCCAGGATGCTGGCCTCATCTTCTCTGGCAGTGATTCTGGTACAGCAACAAGAATAAAACAAATGTCTAACAAGGCTATTGCTGTAGCCAGGACTACGACCAAGCTGTCTCCATAGACTCGACCAAGGTAGGCACCAATAGCAGGGCTGGTAACTAAACTTGCTGCAAAAGTTGCTGAAACCTAAAACAAATAACAGCTGGTAAGATCTACAGTTATATAAGTGAAAATTATTGTTTCCCAATTCTTTTCTGATGTTCAGAAGCCTACTCATTCTACTCAGTGGTTAAAGGTAACTTTTTTCTGCGACTATGCAGTAGCAGCTATATATTTCAGATGGGCAAAGCTTTGAAGAAAAACAGGTTTTTTTCCAACTGGACAATAATGCGAGGCCCACAGCATTCACATGTACTGACATAATTAAGTTTAACTATCCAACAACTGTCTTGCTGCTGTCTTTGGAAGTGATAAGCTGTATTTTCATCTGCATACTGGCAAAATATGCAATGCCTGCTGTTAATCAAGAAGACGTTGCCAGGAAAAACTGTCCATGTATCAAGGACAAGTTAGTAAACTTAATATGCTGGCTAATTCAGCTCATTGCAACAGAACTTCAGGAAGAAGTTTTCAATTAACTACCAGGACTTGTTATGAAAGATGTTAACTTTAAACCTTTAAAGAAACTCTCTCAAAATACCTCAATCCCTAATGCGTACAGGCAGAAAGAAACTATTTAGTCCCACATCCATGTGACAGACTCTGTATTTTGAATGCAACAAAACTGCTAACCCATAATACATAGAGCAGGGTAGGAGGAGCTAATGAAGAAATGGAGGTGAGCTGTATGAACTTATAAAAGGCAAGTTACTCAGCTATGTTTGTTTTGAGCTGAAGCACAACACAGCAGCGTGTTTGGAAACATGAGCAGGATTAGTCAAGCTATACAACGGCAGCTCCAAAATTATCCAGAAATAAAAGTTTAGGTTTTGAAAAGATGACAGTGGCTGAGTAGGACTGATATGAGAAGTAATGGAGAAATGAACTAAAAAGCCCCTCAAATGACATAGTTAATGCTGATGATAACTGCGAGAAAGACAACATCTGAGAGAGATTTTAACATGGCTGTATTATATTTACAGTAGAAACGGAATATTCAAAAGGAGATACAGGCCTGGATGACAAGGAAAACTAAACAGAAGACTCTTACTCCAAACAAAAACTTATTTGCCAAAGAAATCAATTTTGAAAAGCTCTACTAACAGAAAGAGAGCCAAAACCTAAATACATACCAATCCATAGGCCATACTTCTTTCATGTTCTTGGGTTATGTCTGCTACATATGCAAAAACCACAGAAAAAGTCACTGCAAAAACTCCAGAGACAGAAATAACAGCAAAGTACCACCTAAGAAAAAGTAGGGGAAAAAAAAAAAAAATCAGAACAGCTAAATTATAGAGACAAAAAATTCTCTATTTACAACCAAATACAGGTCAACAATAAATTATCCTGTCCAACTCTTCCTGACAAATAGTAAGATAAACTTTGGTAAAGCCGATGTGAATGTCTCTTGAAGAGTTGTGCAATTTCTCCTCAGTGCGTTAAGCACAAGGATAAACACCATACTTTTGTAACATCTACAAAAAGCTGCTGCGATTAAGTGCATGTTAAAAATTCTACATCTTAGTATACTAACTTTGACTGGATGCCTATGGCACAAAGCAAATCAGAACCTTCATTTTTTTTGGCGAATCCGGGCTTTGAGATCTCTCAATATTAGTCTTATCTTTACACCCAGACACTAGCACTGATTGCATTTGAAACCTTCATTTACACTTAAGCAGCAAGCTATTTCCCACAAGAAGGGATGAAGAACTGAAATCCATGCGTGCCCAGAGAAGAAAGAGATGCCTCATGTAACTGCTTGACTGGGTGCCTTTGCCCTGTGTCAGTGCTAATGCCACAGTCTCCATTATTTCAGACAGGCCTGCAGGTACTGTGCAGGGGTGGTCGAACAAACATGGAAAATGAATCCTGACTCAGGCACTACCTGGGAATGTACGTGCCAATTAAGAGCTTAATAAACTTCCGCACAGCGCAAAAGCTGACAGATTTTAAAACTTGAGAAACAAAAAAGTGTAGTAAAATTTCAGCATCATTTTAGGTTACGAATGGTTACTTTCACGCATTAGATGAGGATAAATACACAACATAGATCTGTATCAATTCACTGGACCGCATTCCAGTACATTTTCTCCAAGTGCACTGAAGAAGTAAGGGGGCCAATAGCCCAGGGCTCTAAGTCAGCAGGTCTTAAATTCTGATCCAAGGCATTTGGCCTTAGGTCAGCTACTTCAGCTTGACTCTGTTCTCCAGATTTGCAAAGAGTAATACAAAAGCCCCAACATTACTTTGAGGACAAAGAATATCATATCAGCAATATAACAAATATATTAGCGTTCTATAATAACAAGATATACAAGAAATAGAATGTACAGAATATACAAGAGACTATACAAGTGTGTATATATAAAAAATATATTAAAAATATATAGAAATAACGTATAGATGAAAAACATAAAAATGTAAGAATACATAAGAAACAGTAAAGTCTAGTCTGAAAGAATTTACTAACCACGGACTAATCTTCATTAGTGGTATTGGTGCACAGGTGAAAAATACCGTTAGCAGCAAGAAGGACTTTCGTCCCCACACATCAGACAGGGCACCTATGAGTGGGGCACTGAGGAACGATAATAAGCCCTGTAAAGTAAAACATTAAGTTAGAACTGCATGGTAAGAAGCATGATAGCCAAATGTACTACAAACTGAGTGCAGACTGGGTTTTATTTTTGCTGAAGTTGATTATTATGTAGTGCAATACATCAAAGGGAATATGGTCAAGCATTCTTGATCATCTGTCCCATGCCTGGTTACCTAAAATTTGAGTTTTATTACACCAGAGTATCCAGAACTCAAAACAAAAATGATCCAGTCATATTAGCAGTTCCAGGAACTGTGTTTTGAAGTTCTGTCTTTACAAGTCACATAAATGCAAGTAATTGACAATGCACTACTTGAGCAACAAGCTCCAAGTGGAAAAAACCCTCAAATTTTAACAGCATTTGTGTCATCTGGGATTAGTACTGACTGTTTTTATTCTTTGGTGAACTCAAACACAAGGTACAGGCCAAATAACAACTTAGTGAAAGTAAAATGATGCATTTTAGTTTTATTTTTTGGAAACAAGTTTATTCTCACATTTTATTTACGCCTTCAAAGCTCTACTGAAAGCCTCTTGAACATTTCACTTAACTGGCAGTCATTTGTATACTCCCCACCATTCATTTTACACTGTATGTGCAATTACTTTAACTTTTGTCACCCTACCTTTACTCCTTGAATTAGACCATTCATTAGAAATGTATGTTTTGGGAAGGTTTCATGCAAAACCTAGAGAAGAAATACAAACATTACATACTGCATTGTCATTTACACAATATTATCTGTAAGTGCTGTTCATGATGCACCCAACATCTGTGGTGGCACAAAAAGTACTTTATATTTACATGGATATGTCTCCATGGATTAGAGAGAGAGAGAGAGAGAGAGAGAGAGAGAGAGAGAGAGAGAGAGAGAGAGAGAGAGAGAAAAAAATACACCCAAAACACTGAGAGGGGAAAAAAAAACCCAAGGTATAAACCATTAATTAATGACCATTAATTTCAGCCTCACTATCCTATGGGGGCGGGGAGAGGGGAGGAATATGTACATAGTCTATTTCCCCACTCCTGCTTTGGAAAGAATGAGTATTTGGGGGGAGGGGCGGGACAGGACATAAAAGTGCACTTTTAAAGACTTTTTGTTCATGTTTACTGTACTTAAAAACTCAAGCTGAGTTTCCCTTTTTCATCATGTAGTATCTCACCAAATACCTAGATCTACATCTTTGGATAAACTCAACTTATATGGAATGCATTAAACATAATATACATTTCTTAACCATCATGTTACAGCAAATGGTGAGTTAGTAAAAAAACAAAACAAAACAAAACTCTCTTTTTAAATAAAACCTTGCAGCTTCCCTTTCAATAGCTGATATGGTCTACATGTATTCTTTTACTGGTAAGATACCAAAATCTCCTTTTCAAAAAAGTACACACCACCAATATGATGTAAAGCTGTTGCTCTAGCTGTAACAGCACTGACATTTCAAGAAGTACGGTACAATGTCTCGATGCAGAAAAGGAGTCAGCCTTGATAGATGTACAATGCCAAAATCTTACGTGGGGGCAGAGGGGTGCCTGGAGAACCTCCTGAACTGCTGGGTATGTTTGTCTATCAGCTTTGTCATCTAAGTGTTTCCTCCCTCTTTTGTCCTCACTTTGCCCAGATAATTTCTGCCCTGGCTTCTCTCCTTCTTCCTCAATTTGGGGCGTTACCAGAAACACACCACAAATAGTCCATGATGTAACTTTCATTCACGTGAACGTTCCTTGCAGGTTTTAGCTTTGCTAGATAGAGGCCTCAGTTCTCTCAATGCTTTGGGAAGGATTAATTTCATTGAACTCTTAAATTTCGGCGTTGCTGGACAGACCACCTAGAACCTAGAAAATTAGCCTGTGGGGAGTCTGGTTTGAGCTATCTGTCCTCTGCTCGGGGTGGAAGAGAGACATCGGCAGTGCCTCCTCTCAATCCAGTGACTAGACCCTAGACATGCAGGTTAAAAGAGAAACCTGTCTTCAGTCTAACACTGTAGGAGATGTATTCCATGTAGTAACTGATTCACAGTTTATATGCAAGAGACTGCTCACGTGCTTAACATCAGGTTACAGAATTGCAGCAAGATCTCATTTTAGATGGACTTTTCTTGAAGATCTTTAAGCTTTTGCTCCACTTTGCTTTCTAAGTATGCGTCATCACACACAAAGATCAAATTCAAATGGAGAGCAACCAATTGTACTAGTAAAGAATTTGGTACAAACATATTGGTGTGAAAGTCTCAGTAATTATTGGGCGACTTTGGTGTTAACAGGGTCACTGTAAAGCTTCTGTTGAAAGCACAGCTAGGTTAAAGAGCTCCCTACCTCTAAGTCACCTCTACCACCTCCCGCTGGTGTAATTTTACCGAATATCAAGCATATCCTTGCCTTTGAAACTCTAATGTGCCAACTTTTTGCAGCATTTTGAAAGGAAAAATAATTTAAGTATTGCAGGTCTTACAGGTTTCACGTCAGAAAACATATGTAAGCTTCAGTGTCAACAGACTTGCACGTAAACAGTTACGTCACATCATTACACAGCTTTAACACAAATAATTCTAAATGTTTGATTTCATATAATAATACAAAACTTTTCACTTGCAGAACAGAGCAGGTCAATGACATACAAATTTCATTTAATTCAGAAATAAGATGTTCAGTGCCTCCGCAGTGATCTCTCACATAGCAAGAAAAAGTTTAAGCATATATATCACTTACCACCAGAGTGGGTGCTGTTAAGAGTCCCCAAGCAAAAAACTCCAAAAATATCACTATGACAGCATGGTAGACACTGGGCGAACCTATTCCTTGAGGCTAAAATAAGACATTAAAAAAAAGTGATTACTATAACACATATGACAAGCTGTCCCACTCATCAGAAATGCATCTCAGCGTTATAAACACAAGAGTTAAGAAATGAAGCAGGACTCAACCACCCGAGTCCTTGAGGTACTCAAGCTAATTGGCACAAAGGGAAATTCCTTTCTCAACCCTTTGCTGCCAACGTGCTCAAGTGCCCTCCTAATGCTCTGCAGCGTAAAAAAGTGTTTTCTCATTTCAAATTAAAAAATAAACCACTTATATTGCCACTCTGGGAAACAAGGAAGCTGATGAAAGTGGGAACAAATTCTTAGAAAAAAATTTTTTTTCTGGAGGAAAAACTCACACCATGCTGCATGGAAATCAAGTTGTCATCATTTCAAAACACTGTAATGCTCACACTCAGTTGTGTGTCTAATTACAAGCTTAATTAATTACTTGGTGCATCAGACAACTTTATAGTATTTCTGTTAGTAAAAGGCAGCATGGCTAAGTGCAACACTTTCATAGTTCTAAATCAAGAAAGAAAAATTGAGATAATGGAAGTCAGAAATCAGTCACAGGAACAGCACTGATAGTTTCCCAAAACAGTTTCCCAAATACTGAGTAGCTGCAATGTATTTCACATGTAGCAAGAGATCTGCATAGAAGATTTGAAAGAAGAAAATTCCAATCCTTTAGTGATTTAGTATAATCGGAGAATGGAGGGGAACAGAAAGCAAGAGCAGGGGTGGGGAAGCCTGCTCACTTCAAATACTCTGTAAATACTACCCTGTCAAACAGCACGCCACAGCTCACCCTTTGCAAATTGAGAAAACACTGCAAAAAGTATTTTCATATTAAAGTAGTAGGAGGAACTAATCAGAAATCTCATACGCATTCTTTAATCTTAAAAGCACTGCCTTAACATCTACTTTCCTGGCTTTGTGTGGAGATGAGTTACTTGCTTGATGAGACCGAGCATTCATACTGAATAAACCCATGCAGGTTGCAGTTCTCAGCTTCCTCTGAAGAAAGCTCAGGCTTATTAACATAAAGATCTGATGGGAGGGAGTAAAGAAGAGAGCGCGCCAACTCTTCTCAGAGGCATTCAGTGACAGGATGAGACACAAATTGAAATACAGGAAATTCCACTTGAACATAAAGCAGGGGAAAAAAGGTTTATTTATTTAAACTGTGAGGGCAGTCAAACACCGGAACAGGTTGCCCAGAGAGGTTGCGCAGCCTTCATCCCAGGAGATATTCAAAACGTGCCTGGACATGGCCCTGAGCAACCTAGTTGACCCTGTCTGGGGGGCAAGGGAGGGTGCTGGACTAGAGACCTTCAGAGATGCCTCCCAACCTCAGCTATTCCACAATACTAAGTTTAAGTTAGATAATACTCTATTTAAAATAAATAAAGATTTCTGCTACTCACACCCAGCTTTTCTTTCAAGATTCCAATTATTTCCAACCCAGAAAAAAATAAAGCTTTTGAACAAAAATATACTCTTGTAGTATACTCTATAACTTCAAAAATTATTTTAAAACAAGTCAATTCTCAAAACATATTTATTTATTTGAAGGCAGAAAATATTCCAGCTAAAACTGTTGTTATCCTACAACAGTCTAACCACCTCATAGCGTCACTTAACATCATAGTCCATTTTTTTCAACACTGTAAAAATACCCAAGTTCTGTATAGTTTTCAATTAAGTTTGCACTCTGTTTTTGAATCTGGTGGAAGGCCTGAATGCAGAAACACAAGTATTACTGGATGCAGCAGCATGACATCCTTTCTCCTCTCTTGGTAAACAAAAGTTAAAGTCTAAAGGGACACCTGGAAGCATACAGTATCTTAATCAATGATTACTCCAGTGAGAAATTCTAAAACACAACACATAACAGCGGTTACTCTGCTTTTATTATTCATCCTAAAATACACACGAGCGTAAAATGGAATCTCTAACCTTTACGAAAAGCAGGAAAACATACCCTAAAAAACATCAACATCCATCAGTGAAATTAGTTTTGCTTCTTACCACTAAGTAAACCAGACAGACAGTTACCAATTTAACAAACAGCTATAGTGATTTCCTCCCCTCCCCCCCACATACTACTGTTCTGAAAAGACTAATGGAATGATTGCTAGGGATTTAATTTGCTAAAACGTCTATTTATTTAACACTCTCTTGAAATCATGATACTCTTTTTACAAAAATGCATATTTAAGACACACAATATTATACAGTGGAAAAAATACTAGTGGCAATGAAAAGTATGTCATAAGTGACACTACTCCCCGATTAAGGGAAAAAAAAAAAAA